CTAACTGCATCAGGTCTTCAACTATACCCCCAACTCCTTTCTCATTTTATTGTGAGGCAGGATATTGCTGTTACTTAAACTGACTTCAAATCTGTGGTTCCCCTGCCTCAATCTCCCAAGTACTAGGGGTCACAAGTGTGCACCACATCTAGAAAAGTAACTTAAAAATCATCTCTCGATTATAGTTACTATATCATTGTGCTGACAATGAAACACATATAAAATGACATATAAAACACAGTAAGATAATAGTGAAGTGTGGATGCCTGCATGAAATCCAGTTTGAACTTTACTTATCCTTACTTCTTACATATAAATAAAATGCAATGAACTCAAGTAAAAATGCTTCAGAGCGCCAGTCTATGGAACTTTCTTAATCATTAGGCATAATCACTATATTTTGAGGGTTTAAATAGCATTGGCTGCAACAAAAAGTTGGCAGGAAAAGCTCAATAAAAGGCTAATGGTTGTGAAGAAAAAAATAATGTTAATCTTAAAAATTATTAAATTCAAACAAATGCCAGATTCTCAGAGAAAATTCTATTCTTAATACCATTTACCTTTATTTCTCAACACTGAATCCCCAAATGCTGCAACTAATAAGGTTTACATTTTTATGATGTACAATCCGCCCTTCCTCTCTTCTTCCCTCCTTCTTCCCATAAAAAAAAAACAAAAAAAAAACAGTAGACAAAACGGAAAATTAAGGGAACTTCATTTCTGAAATCTAAATAATGCCTAGGGAGCACTGGAACTAAATAATGTCCAAAAGAGTTCTCTCTCTCTCTCTTCCTGTCTCTCTCTCTCACCCATCCACCCACCCACCCACCCATCCATCCATCCATCCATCCATCCATCCATCCACCTACCTACCCACCCATCCATCTATAACAACAAGAGGCTTATACCAGCTCCACCTCCCTAGTGGGGCCGTTAGGAGTCTCAGAAGAAATAGAAGACAGGAAAGCAAGTGGAAGGGCTTATGATCACTGTGTAAATTCAGGGTCAGGGGAGGCAGGAAAAATAAAAACAAAATAGCGTGGGCCAGTGAGATAGCTCAGTGGACTACGGAGCCTGCATAGGCAAGCTTAGGCAAGCACAGGGGTGGTGGTTTGATCCCAGCCACCACATGGTGCACCAGCCCCACCCCTATGGCAGGCTGAGGGGGTCATAGAGTCTGGGTATGGTAGTGCACCCCTGTAATCGCAGGAATGGGGAGGCTGAAAGCAGGAGGATCACTATGAGTCTGAGCTGTGTAGTGAGATCCTGTAACAACTAAATACATTTTTAAAGATAGCCTAATAGCTCTGTGACACAAATAGACAAAGACCCCTAGATCAGAGCGTCATGACAGTCCCCAAGTTCTGTTGTGGTTACTCAGACATTTGTGGCTCTGCCACATATGTCCTACCAGGACTGTGCTCTGTTCAAGAGTTGTTGACTTGTCCCAGGGTCCAGCCCCCATGTACACACGTGGAATTTTCCACTCCATTCTTTTGCAAATATTAAAGCGCTGGCTGGTCAACAGTAGATTCATTGTCTGCAAGGAGGCAGCTGTGGCTTCCTGCCAGGACCTCTGCAGCTCTGCTGCGGGCTGGGCAGGGAAGGAGCAGTTGGGGTACTTTGGCCCTTGCAACGCCTTCCCCTGCGCCGCTCTAGCTCTGTGGACTCGGCCAGCTAACTTCAATGCCTGCTCCCGCCTTGGTGCCATGCCCAGGGCTTGCACCCTGCAGTTCCCAGTGTGGTTACAGAACTGCACATGTCCTCTCTGCTGCAGGAGGAGGGCCTGCCTAGCTTTCATGACACCCCTTTCAGCTCCTAGATTGAAACTCTGTGAGGTCAGAATCTCTGTGTCCCATTCATGGCTCTGGTCCCTGTCCTGGTCCCTTCGGTACTTCTCATAGGTTGAGATTCTGTTGGGGTTTCACAAATGTCCAGAACCCAGAGGAAGCAGGTACCAGTGTTGCTGTCACTGGGTCCATCGGGCAATGAAGGGATGGAATAGGCCCCATGGGCCCTCAGGACCATCGCAGGCTCTCCCCAGGGGAACGCATTTAGCATGCATCAGGCACATTTAGCAGCATCAGTGACAGGTCTGTTTCATCAGTGAGTGTGAGTTCATCTACTCTTACTATCGGGCATCATTGTAGCATTATGTTTTGTACCTTGTGGAGGAGGAAATGAGATAAGGTAGACCAAACGTGCGGGAGATGGAGGATAGAGCTCAGGCCGTGCTGTGAACATGACACAGTCGTTGTGGGGGTTTTTTTATTTGTGGTTTTTCTTTTTCTGGTACCAGGAATTGAACTCAGGACCTTATGCTTGCAAGGCAGAGACTTCAGCCACTAAGATATATCTCTGACCCACTATGTGCTTCTTTTATTTAGCTTTGTATTTTTAATTCATTCAAATGTGTTCTTAGCTCCTACTTCCTTTTCCCTGCACCAAACCCCCCAAACAGAACAACTATGAATGGGCAATGGTTTCCATTTTGCAAATGAGGAAACTGAGGTCTAGAGAGGCTGAACCCTGGGTGGGCGCACAGTTGTGACTGCAGCCCAGGGATCTGGACCACCAGCAACGTTCTCTTCTGAAGTAGTAGAACTTGCAATTGAACCCTAATACGTGAGACAGATACAAGTGATGGTGCATGCTGGTTTATTTTGTAAATTTTGTAAATGATTTTATTTTGTAAATTTGTATTTGTATTTTCACTTTTTGCTTATCACAGGGAGAACAGTGATACCGTTTTCAGAGCACACTCTAGAAGCCAGGAGCCATGGGAGTTGGTTGATGTCTTAAATCACGGTACTACCTCATCATTTAGGCATGAACTTCAGTGATAGAGTAACTTCCAGCAGCTAGTAAGCAGTGTTCAGATTTTTAAGTACTTCATCATAAAACCTCAGGGTGCACGGAAGGTTTGCAAGGGGAGTGTCTGTGGGCATCTGTGTGAAAGTTGGTTGGCTGCCCGCAGCTGCACAGGGAAGGCCTGACCCAGGCAGCCACTGGCATGTGTCCTGAGCCCTGCTGGCATTTGTTGGGAGTGTCTCAGCTTGCTCTGGCATGGTTATGCAGGCATGAGGATTTGGGGATCAAGTAGGCTTTGCAGAACTCCGCCCCTCTTCCCCGCACTCTTTGTGTAAGAAGTGCTGGAGTCCACACGGCAAACAGCGGCTGGGAAGCCTTGCCCTGGGCTCTCTGACAGTGCACCTATGCTGACCGCCTTGGCATCTCCAGGGGATTCATGTCTGGTTCATAACATTTCAGGCTGTTTGCGTAAAGGACTAGATGTTCTTTTGTAAAATGTTAATCTCTGATGGGGTGATGAAAATTTAAATGAAAACGGAGCTGGTATAATAAAGCTGAAGCTATACAAAACTGAAGCCCAGCATCGTGTAAGATTCAGCAGACAAGGTCACTGTGCCAGCTGGCTCGAAAAACTTCTGAACTCTGACTTCTCATCTGTAACTATCTTTCTTAGACAATCGCAGACAGTGTGTGGGCTGGCTGTGGTCGTGGGATGCACAGTCTCCTGTCACTTCTGGTAGTGAAATGAATATATGTTCAGTGGGGTTTAGAAAACTGGTTACAAGTGGGGCGGGTGGTGCACAGCTGTAAACCCAGCACTCAGGAGGTTGAAGCCGGAAGATCGCTGTGAGTTTGAGGCCACCCTGGGCTACACAAGGGGGTTTAAGGCTAGCCTGCACCAAGAGTAAGACCGTGCTCAAAGAAAAAGAAAATAAACTGGTTAAAAGTGCTTTTGACTGAGGAAGCTGGATAAAGCGTGTATAGAATGCCTGGACAACTGTAGGTTGAAATCCTTCCCCCAGTTCCCCCCACCCTCTACCTCTCACCTTGGTTCTTTCCATCCCTCCTTGCTTAAGGCAATTTTTGATTCCAAACAACCACTATAAAATGCTCTTAATAATGGACATTTGAAACATGTAGCAAATTAGCCAGAGATGCAAGCTTTACATTCCCACCCATGTGGCTTCCATGGAGTCACTCGTGGGTGACCTTGCTTCGCCCAATGCCCTAATGCCCAAGAGGCGTTTAAACCAAATCCCAAATATTGAATATTTTTCCCTCCCAATTTTCATTCTGTATTTCCAGAGGGGTGCCATTAAATAATATAACCACAGGACTGTTTTCTGGCCTGACAAACAATGATTCTCTCTTCCTCAAATTTGCACTCTGTGCCCCCATTCCCAGGATCCAGTTCAGAGCAGCACATGACAGGTGGGTGGTGTCTCTTACTTCTCTTGTAATCGGTAGGTTTCCTCCATGTCTCTTGTTTGTTGCTTACTCGACTTTATTGTCAAAAATTACGCAGTTTTCCTGCCCGGGTTCTGTTAATGATGTCCCCTCTGCATGTCCCTTGGCCTTCCACATTTCTCATGGATGAGAGGTGGGGGTGGGGGTGGGGCGGGATGCGGAAGTGGAGTCAGGTCGGGACTCCCACTCCTTGGCAAGGCTGTTTTGTGCATGGTGCAGGCTTTTCCCACTCAGCGCCTTGGCCGCTCCTGCAGGACGGCCTCCATTCTTAGTCATATACTGTGGATGAGGTCGCTTTGGTGAGGTTCTGCAGATGCTTGCCCCTGTCTTTTACTGTTTTCAGTGGTGCCCAGCGCCTCCTAGTTCTAAGACCACCCTGCACCTGTGAGAGTGCGTTGAGCAGTGGTATGGGGAAGGGCTAGTAGCAGCAGGGATTCTGCTTGGTGCAGCGGTGCATACCTATAATCCCACACTTGGCACGGTGACAAGTGTGAATGCCAAGAAGCCAGGTACGGCGCTGGCCCTGGGTGCCAAGGCTAAAGCAGGAGCAGCACTCTAAGGCTAGCCTGGGCTACATAGTGAGTTTAAGGCTAGCCTGAACTGCATGATGAGCCCCTGTCTCAAAAAATAAAAAGTCCATCTGTAATCCCACCTCTAGGGGGGCTGAGGCAGGAGGAATGCTGTAAGTTTGGGCTTAGCCTGAGCTGCATAGGAAGTTCAAGGCCAGGCTGAACTACATGGCAAGACCCTGGGTCACACAAAACAAAACAAACCAAAACAGAACAAAACACAACAGCAGCAGGGATGCTGCTAGGACACGTTGGTAGGGTCCCTGGGGAGCACAATGGTGGAGCCTTGTCTAGGCTAGTGTCCATGGGATAGCCAGAAGTCAGGGGTTAAGCAGCACTCGCCACAACCTGATAGGTCACTGTCTTTGGTGCCTCGTTTCCAATCTGCCTTCTTCCCCGGGAGTGCATTTTTGTACACGAGTCATGCAGCGCGTGTTCACTGAGTGCTGCTGCGTGCTTTGCTCTGGACACTCCGTTCTCCCCCTTGCCCTGGCGTCTGTAGCTGAGTGAAGCTGGTCACAAGAGCAGTGCTGTGGATGGGACCCACCGGGCGCTGCGGAACTGTGGCATCAGGCGGCCAGTATCCTGGTAGCCTCTGCCGTGTCCCCACGCTGGTGTGAGGAGGGTCTTCAATGCCCTTGCACAGAAAGAGCGGTTCATTTTCTCACTTGGTCTTGCTGCTGCGATGCTGTGCCCCACCCAGGACACTAGCAAGCAAATTCCAGGATCCACTTAAGTCACTTCCCTGACCCACCTCTAGAGAGCATCCTTTGGCCCCACATTTACCCACATGGGCTATTTATCCAGGCCTACTATAGCCTGGAGGGTGGGAGTTCACATCTAGAGGACCCTGTTCTGGGGGACCAGCCTGAGACTCCTCTCTCTGGGCCCTGTCTGCTTGCTCTGGGAGAGGACTTGAGGGAGTGCGGACCCCTCAACAGTGCTCTTTGCTGTACCCCACCTCCAAAACACAGCTGGAATAAAAACAGAGATGTGCTTATGAGGTGCAGCGGTGCTGTGAGGCCACAGAGGCTCTCCTTCCCCGGGCAGAGCCCCACCCAGCTTGGGAACCTCCCCTGTGGTCAAGCCAGCATAGCAGGCCAGGTGAGAAGCGCAGCCACCTGTCCCTACTTCTGTCCCTAGTTCTTCAGTTGAGCTGGCCCCCAGATGGGCAAGCATCCTGTGGCTTCCATCTCTGCAGTTCCTTGGAATGCTTTTCATCATTGCCTTGTCCCGTGGGCACGGTGACAAGTGTGAATGCCAAGGAGAAGCCAGATGCAGCGCTGGCCCTGATGCCAAGGCCAGAGCTGTGAAGTAACTCTCTAAGCTCATGAGGAGCTGAATTCTGCCCCTGGGCCTGCTCAGGCTTTTCCTGCAGCTTCTTGGTCACTGTTAAAATGGATAAATAGGGTCCTTTCAGGCACAGTGGCCACTTTTTAATGGCCACTGTTGGTAGACAGTTAGGCTGTAGTTTTTTGTGCTGTAGACACAAGATAGGTCCTGTGCTTGTTTTCCAGTTATGTGGAGCTCTTGGGGTTATGTTCCTACAACTGGGGTTTCTGGGACAAATGACTACACTTTGAGATCTTGATATGTCTATTACTTTCTGGAAAGGTACGTGTGCTCCCCACCTGTGCCAAAGGCAGAACCATTTTTTTGTTGTTGTTGTGCTTGATGCCTCCTAAGGCTGAAGGAGGTCCTAGGCATCATTCAGCTTGCAGGGCCTGGGCAAGAGTACTTGGCTTCTCTTTGGAGTTTGCCTTCTCTTCTTAGATGAGCACTGAAAGCTCAGACTTCAGTGGCCCAGAGGGTCTGACTTTACTATAACACACTGCGCTGAGCAAAGGCTGGAAGAGAAACGTGAGCACTCATATGTATGCACCCGAGAAAGAGGGAGGAAGGAAATGCTGTTAGGAATCCTGTTTAAAGGTCCCTTTGAGAAAGGATCTCTGTTGGCAGGATTTACAAGGGAATAAATTTAATACAGGACACATAATTTATAGGACTGTTTTATAATATTCACCAAAAAGTCAAATGCAGAAGAGTATAGATCAGTCCATGCACTGGAGACCCAAAGAAGCCAGCTGAGTGCTTGGATCCCTCAGCAAGAGTCCAGCTGGAGGCCAGAGCCCATGGCAGTGTCCTGCACAAATCTAGCTGAAGACCTGGAGCCCAAGGCATGTCCCCCATGAGTCCGGCTGGAGGCCCAGAGCCCATAGCAATGCCTCATGCAAATCTGTATCAAGGATCTTCCCTGGGAAGGCCCAAAGGTCAGTGGTGGAAGCTACAAGGGGCTCCTGAAATGTTGAATCAGCTCTTTGTTCTGGTCCCAGTTCTTCTGCAACCTAACACTGTCCAAACTATGCAACTTGTCACATGCTGAACACTGCAAAAAGAAAATCTATCTTGTCACAGAAGATAGTTTCTGGCCATAGAATTCATCTTCAACTACTGATTTAAGAATTAGAAATGAGAATTGTGTTGAAAATGTAAACTAGTGCAATCTCTATGGAAAAATCAGTGTGAAGATTCCTCAAAAAACTGAAAATGGAAGTTCCATTTGATCCAGCTACCCATCTTCTGACTATCTCCGCAAAAGAGTTAACGACATATTTCAGTGGTACAGCATACCCTTATTATAGCAGCACACAACTCACAATTATTTATTTACTTATTTTTGTGTGTGTGTGGCCTGCTCAGCCCCTCCTGGGGGCGGAGCTTGTGTGGCATGTGGTGCTGCAGATTAAACCGCGGTCCCTGCATGTTTGCCTAAGCTTGCCTAAGCAGGTGCTTTAGACTGCTGAGTTATCTCGCTGGCCCTCACAATATTTAAATCTTGGAAATGACCGATGAGTGGATAAAGAACATGTGGTGTATATGCACAATGGAGTGCAACTGCATATAAAATTGAGTGATTTGTAGGGAAACAAATGCACCGTCAGACCATAATGCCAGGTGAAATAAATCAGAAAGAGAAGAGTATCATCTATGTATCTATCCATCATCTATTTCACATAGTTTATCTTTTCTTTCATTTTACTGATATATTTTGAATATACATATTGATAGCATTCATCATACAGAGTTTGATATATTTTGGTTCTTTTTTTCCCAATACCCTCTCTTCCCTTCAACCTCTCTCCCCCTTCTTAATTCCATTTTCCCCCTTTATTCCCCTCTTTTGTTCTTTTCCCTGTCCCTACTCCCTAGTTTCTGTTTCCATTTGAACATCTTCTTCCTGTTTTGCAATATCTATTATACACTGTGGTCTTCCTTCACCCTTTTGGCTTCTCACACCATAGAGAAGATGAGATATTTGAACATGTGGGTCTGATTTATTCCACTGAAGAGTACGGTCTCAAGATGCATCCCTTTCCCTAGAAATGTCTCAAGCTTACTCTTCTTTGTGGCTAAGAAGTACGCCATTGTATAAAAAACACATCTTCTTTACACACTGATCAGTTGGTGGGCACTTGTGCTGTTCCCAAGATTTAGCTATTAAAAGCTGTGAGCTGTAAACATGGGTGTGCATATGTCTCTGTGATATGATGCTTTTAATTTTTTTCTGGAAGATACCTAGGAGGGGAAAAGCTGGGTCGAATGGACTCAGTTTTAGTTTTTTTTTTTAAGGACTCTCTTCTCTCTACTGACTTCCAGTGGTTGCCCCAGTCTACACTCCCACCAACAGTGGAAAGGGTTAACTTTTCTCCACAGCCCCTCCAGCATTTGTTATTAGTTGATTTTTTTGATAACAACCAATCTTTCTGGGGCAAGATGGAATTACAGTATTATTTTAATTTGCATCTCTCAAATGTTGAACTTTTTTATACATTTATTTGCTGTTTCTACTTCTCCATTTGAGAAGTGTCTATTCATATCATGTGTCCATTTCTTTATTTGGTTTTTAAATTTGGGGGTGGTCCTGATTTTTTTAGTTCTTTACATAGTCTAGATAGTTTTTTGTTTGTTTTTTGGCGGAACCAGGGATTGAACTCAAGCCCTTGTGCTTGCCAGGGAAGCACTTACTCCACTGAGATTTTTAAAAATTAACTTTATTGGTACATTTTAGTTATACATAAGAACATTCATCATAGGGAATTTTAGTTTAGTACGTAGTGAGAGAAATAGTTCCAGGTTTAGTCTTTAGTACCTATGAAACCAGTTTCTCCAGCATCACTTATTAAAGAGGCTGTCTGTCTTCCAATGAAGGTGTTTGGCCCCTTTGTCAAAGATGAGTGTGTCTGGAGTTACGTCTCTGTCTTCTAGTCTGGATTCCATTCACTTTGGTCTGTTTTGTTGTTGCTGTCTTGGCAGTATTATCTTGTTTCTACCATACCTTTGCAGTAAAATTACAAGTAGAGATTGCGATGCTCCCACGTTGCCTTTCTTTCTTTCTTTCTTTTTTTTCAGAACTGGGGATTGAACTCAGGCTCTTGAGCTTGCCAGAGAAGCACTTATCCACTGAGCCATCTCCCCAGCTGCCTTTGTTTTTTCAAAATTAGTTTTGCTATTTTAGGTATTTTTTGGCTCCAAATGAGCTTTCAGATTATTTTCTCTAATTCTGGGAGATATGATATTGGTATTTTGGTCAAGTTGCATTAAATCTGTATAATAATATTGGATATGACCATTTTCATTATAGCTTCATCCTATCCAAGAAAAAAAGAATCTTTCCAGTTTCTGATATACTCTTTTTTAAAAATAATTTTATTGAGAAATAGCAATGAGACAGTTTCAAAACCGATTACTAGCAGCTTCAATAATTAGTACATTACATATTGTTGTCTTAGTGGTTATTCATTGTACAAGATGCAGACATGATATCCTGTCCACAAACACTATTAGAGCAAATCTCTGTATTCACTGAATTAAGAGAATGCGGCTGTATATCTATCCTATTTTGAATATACAGATACCAAATGGTTGTTCATTTGTATCCCCTTTTTTTGTTTAGTTTTGTCAGAGATGGGTATTCCATTGCCATTTAAATATTGTAGGTGCGTGAATTCAACAAAATGCTCCAATATAGTCCAGTAGTCTGTAATGGTAGTGGGTTTTCTGTAAGACTGGCAATGTCAGAAGTTGTTGGCTTGAGTCAGCCTATTAATATGGCTTTACTTTTTATACTTTGTTTTTATACTTTTCTGCTGGATGGCTAAGACCAAGATAAAGCAAGACCTTCTTAACAAGAAATGTAGCTTTTGTATCTGGTAAGGTCAGTCAGATCCCCTCTGGACTTATCCTGAAACCCCATACCGCAGTTTGTAGATCCTTTGTCAGTGTCAGCCATGTGGATGAGTCACGGCCATTGCTTGACCAATTTGCTGTCTGTGAAAGCCTGAGAGAATGTTTTCTCTCCATGTGACTCTCCTTAGGCACACTCTACATCGTCGATCACTTTCCTCTGTGGCCCCATAATCTCCTTGATCAGAAAATTTGGGACATCACTGAGTTACAGGATGTTACAGTACAGGTTCTCTTATGTCCTGAGTCCTCACTAACTTTAAAAGGCTAGGGCCAAAATGTTGGCTGACCTTGCAGCCCTTCTTTTTCTCTAATTTTTGGTCTGTAAACAAGTTGTTAACCCTCCAGAAGAGAAGCTTCTTATTACCCTACAATATAGGCAGTTGAGCTTAGCCTCACTATCTGTCTGAATATAAAATATCTTAGGCATGGAACAGGTATTTTCCATCCAGTATTGATATGTTAAACTTTAAGTTCCTACAGAATATGAAGAAAAAATTTAAAAAATGGATATTAAGAATAAACAGTTACATATTTTTACACAGAAATTTAGAAATCTAATCATATACAGCATCATAGCAGGACAGTCCTGTGACATTTTTTTTTCTTGTCTCTTGTTTTCATTTATTGCATTTTTTTAAAACAAACATTTACTTGAGAGACAGTATGGCAATAATTGGTATGTCATGACAAGCAGTACGTATTTAGAAGACCAGAATGACAAGCATTCCAAGCATGACCCTAGTATTACACATTGCTATCTTCAGTGCAGTTGCTTAGTTCACAGGTATCAGTATATATAGCTAGTCAGGGTGAGAATCCTACCAATTAACTGCTAGTTTCAGAAACCTGCTGAAGATCCTCAGGATCATTGCCTTGACCATCTTGTACATATAAATGTATGGCTTGCCCCTGTCATGTTTCCTAGCTTTTCTCCTTGCCCTCTCTTCGTTGTCTGATCCTCAAGTTCTCACTTTCCTTTTAATTGTGTTATACCATTCTATTTTATTTCTTCTTTTGAGATGTTATACTAGGGAGACTATACGATATTTGCACATGTGGTTCTGGTTTATTTCACTTATTAGTATATCTTCAAGTGGCATCCACTTCAATATGAAGGCTTCTAGTTTATCATTCTTTATAGCTGAGTAATACTCCATTGTATAAAAATATGATGTCTTTTTCATCCATTCTTCAGGTGACAGGCATCTTGGTTGTTTCCAAGATTTGGCTGTCACAAAATTGTGCTGCTATAAACATAGGTACACATATATCACTGATTTGCTATTTTTGGTTCCTCCCAGAAAATTCCCAGTAGGGGGATAGCTGGTTTGAATGGGATTTCCAGTCCTAGTTTTTTAAGGAGTCTCCATGCTGATTTCCATAATGGTTGTACCAGTCTACATTCCCACCAGCAGTAGAAAAGGTTACTTTTTCCCCACAGCCTCTCCATCACTTATTGATTGATTTCTTTATGATAGCCATTCTATCTGGGGTGAGATGGTATCTCAGTATTGTTTTAATTTGCATTTCACAGGTGGATAGTGATGTGGAACATTTTTTCATATATTTATTTGCTTCTTTAATTTCATCCTCTGAGAAGTATGTGTTCATCTCGAATGCCGATTTCTGGATTGGGTCTTTAAATTTTGGGGCCCTAATGTTTTTTAGTTCTTTATAAATTCTAAAGAGCAGACCTTTGTCTGAGTGCTTATTAGTCAAGATTTTTTTGAAATTTGTGGGTTGTCTTTTCACTTTGTTGGTAATTTCTTTTTGTTGTTTATTCCATTTTCATTGCACTGTGGTCAGATAATATGCTTGGGATAATTTCTATTTTCTTGCACATACTTAAGCATGACCTGCAGACTAGTATGTGATCTACTTTTAAAAATGACCATATGCAGCTGAAAAAAATGTGTATTCAGCTGTGTTTGGGTGGAACACTCTGTATATGTCCACCAAGTCCATTTGTTACAAGCTCTGGTTCAGTTTTTTTTTTTTTAATTTTTTTTTTAACATTTATTTAGTGTGTGTGTGTGTGTGTGTGTGTGTGTGGCCAGCTCAGCCCACCAGGGGGCGGGGCTGGCTGGCATGTGGTGCTGGGGGATTGAACCGCGGTTCCTGTGCTTTGCCAAGCTTGTTCCAAGTAGGTGCTTTAGACCACTGAGCCATCTCTCCAGCCCTCTGGTTCAGTTCTGCTACTTCTTTGCTAAGTTTTTGTCTGGTTGATCTATCTTTTTGAGATAAGTGGGTGTTAAGGTCTCCTGTTAAGATTGTGGTATTGGATATTACATTTTTCATGTCCATTAAGTTTTGTCTTATATAGTTGAGTGCTCCCATGTTTGGTGCATACATATTTAAGAGTGTTACATCTTCCTTTTGGATTTTTCCCCTAAGCAGTATATAGTGGCCTTCTTTATTTCATTTGATCATTCTTGATTTGAAGTTGAGACTCTCTGAGAACAGGATTGCTACCCCTTTTTTTCTGAGGTGCTGGGGCATGTAGTATTGTTTTCCATCCTTTGACTTTCAGCCTATGAATTTCTTTACGAGTCAAGTGTGTTTCGTGTACATAGCATATTGTTGGATTTTGTTTCCTAATCCACTGTGCCAGTCTGTTTCTTTTAAGTGGTGAATTGAGTCCATTTACATTGATAGTTATAATTGAGATGTATAGACTTACGATTGACATGTTATTTACTTGCTGTTGTTTATTCCTTTTTCTCCTGTGTTTGTTTGCCATATTTAGTGGGTTCCCTTTGTTCTTGTTCATGGATTTCTGATCAATTTGCTCCCTCTCTAGAACATCTTTTAGTAGTCTGTGTAGGGTTGGCTCTTGTCATCATGAAATTCTTTAGCTGTTCTTTGTCATGGGAGTGTTTCACTTCTCCATCAAACTTGAAAGAGTTTTGCAGGGTATAGTAGTCTGGGCTGGAATTTGTTTTCCTAGAGGACCTGAAGTACTCTGCTCCATGCTCTTCTTGACTTCATGATTTGTGAAGAGAAGTCTGCCATTATTCTGATGAGTTTTCCTTTAAGTGTGATCTGCTTCTTTTCTCTAGCAGCTTTTTGTGTATTGTTCTAGGTAGTTTTTTGAGGAATAGCTGGTAATCTTTTTTTCTCATTCTGTGGGTTGTCTTGTCACTCTGTTGCTGCTTTCTTTTTAATATGAGAAAAGCTTTTTAATATAATGAGATACCAGTTATTGATTCTTTCTACTATTTCCTGTGTGACTGAGGCTTTATTCATAGAGTCTTTGCCTGCACCTATGTCTTCAAGAGTTATATGTAGTCTCTTTTCCAGCAGATTTAGTGCTTATGCTTTAATATTTAGATCCTTGATCCATTTCTATTTTAGTTTACTGAATGGTGAGAGATTCAAGGCTAGTTTTAATCTTTTAGCATGTGGAAAGCCAGTTTCCCCACCAGTATATTTTTTTCCTGTATTTAATACAGGGTCTACAGGGTGTACAGGGTCTC